GTGATTGGGTTCAGAAATAAAGCTGATCTGCCTCTTCTCTCCTGTCTATGTTTTTATCTTTTCTACCTTCCGCTCATGCTTAGTAAGAACATTGCCACTGTTGCATTGGTGATGATAGGAGTCATTCCATGAGGCCAGAGAAATCACCCTTGTCTCCTCCAGCAGATGGTAAAGGAAGAATTTGTCCCCCAAAAAAGGTACATTTGATCTACCTATAATGTGTTGACATCAATAGTTGGTGAAATTTCCCATTAGACTCCTAATGAAAAACCAAGAACCCCAGGCCTCTGTATGGCTTTCTGCACACAGTGGTATGAGATAGTGACTGGTTCTCTACACCAGACCCCTGGGCCCTGGGTTTCCTTCAGAAGCAGAGGGAGCCGTGGGAGGTGAGCAGGCAGGTCCTGTGGGAGACACAGACGTGGGGAGAATTCCAGGGAGAGGCCAGCAAGGGAGAACCATGGGTGGCCCTGCTTTTTCTCAAACTTTGCATGGTTCTCGGCTTCACAGTGATGGGAAGGTCTGGCCCCAAGGATATTTTGACATTGTGAGCATAGAGCATTTTAATCAAAATTATATTAAATGAATTTTTGTCATGGTCTTCTCCAGAACAAACCTGAATTAGCCATTTAATTTTCCCAATCAATTTTCTATACAGCCAAATTCAACCATTTTCTCATTGTTTTTATTCCCTTGTTTGTGACCTCGATCATGTCGGTGTCACCACCTGACACACTGGCCACTGCTTGTGGAAGTCTGGCCTGCAGACCCTGACTCGATGATGGATGAATGACTGCACTCTCACACTGTTATAGTGATTCGAGTGGGCTAGGGATGAGTGGGCTGCTTTCAGAGGGTGAAATGCAACCAATGACAGAGGTTCCAAGTCAACACACTTGTGGATAATTAACATGGTTAAAAGTGGTTTTATGAATGATAAAAGTGCTTTAGGTTCCTGGCCCAGAGTAAACACTATTAACGGGCAATTCCCCTTTGATCTCCCCCTGAGAGGACCACCAGCACTAAGTTTACATGAGTAAACAGTGGAGACAAAGGGGTGTGGGGTAAACAGACTTAAACCGGGAAAGCCTTTGATTGTCTCTTTCCTATGCTAATGTAAATGAGGCAGCTGCCTTCAGCCTGCCCCATTAAAACCTTTTGGCCTTCCCAAAGGTTTGAGATTACAATCTATAACTTTTCCTAATGTTTAATATTTTGCCAGCCACCTGAGTGAATCTCAACACCTTTTTCTCCCCCCCACCACTTTTTTTTGAGACAGGGCAGGGTCTCACTCTGTTGTACAGGCTTGAGTCCAGTGGCATGATCATGGCTCACCACAGCCTTCAGCCTTGACTTCCTGGGCTCAGGTGATCCACCCACCTCAGCCTCTCAAGTAGCTGGGATTACAGATGCGCACTACTGCACCAGCTAATTTTTCTATTTTCAGTAGAGATGGGGTTTCACCATGTTGCTCAGGCTGGTCTTGAACTCCTGGGCTCAAGTGATCTGCCCATCTCGGCCTCCCAAAGTGCTGGGATTACAGGCGTGAGCCACCCCGCCTGGGCCCCCTTTTCATTTTGTTAATATATTTTCACAACAGTCAGTTCCTTCCTCAATTGAATAACATTATTACTCTTCTTCCCTATTTTAATTTTACTGAGAAAACTTGATCAATCCTTTTAGTCACATTTTAGTCACGCTTTACTAATTATAGCTTCTGCCATCATGGGCCTTTTTTTTCTTTTAATTACCATTATTTTTGCCAATTCCGTTTTCTTCATGTTAGCCTGAATCAGTTTTATTGTGCATTGAGTTTCTTGACTGTCCAGTTTTCTCTGGTAACTGAGTCATAATGTCCTCAACATGAAAACTTTAGCATCTCAAAGTCCTCTGCTTTGGGTCTTTCTGAAATAAACAGGCTGTGGGCCTCCCTCCCCAGCTGCCCTCAGGACCCTTCACGCAGGAGGGATCAGGGCTTCCTTGGAGATTTCTAGCCAGCCTTTTATATTTTGCTAATGCACCATTCTTCAAGGCTCCTAGCCAACGTGAGGGAAGAAGGTGTCCACAATGTATATCCCCACCTGTGCCAGGCATGGGACCTCAGTACACCAATGGCTGGGGAGGGGTGATTGTTCGCATTGTTTTTAGGGCTCACTGAACAGCCAAGCACTTGAAAGACTTCTGCTGGGACTTCCTAGCCACCCAGTGCAGTGGGAAGGTAGCCATCCCCCACCTTATAGATGAGGTGCCTGAGATCCAAAGCAGCGAGGTGAATCACAGTTCTGCCTGGCCACACACCTCCCCATTCAGTCCTTATCAGATGAAGAAATGAGTGGCAGCTGGGGCAGACTCCCACCCAGGGCGCTAAGACCCTTTTGGGTTCAGGTGCTGCACCCAAAGGGAAAGTGAAGGGTCTCCTAGCTCTTCCTCCTCCCCCATCCACCCTTAGGACCCGAGCTGCTTTCCACCGGAGGAAGGAGCTGGGAGGAGAAAATTGAAAAGATGTAGAAATTCTCCAAAATACCATCTATTCGACTTCCCACAGCCCTTTATTTCCAACAGATGAAATTAAAGCCGTGCCAAAATGAATGAAAAGAGTGCCATTTCATCCCACAACCCAGAGAGAAGTTTTGTTCAAAGATCTTGTCTGCTTTCCCACTGGTCCTGCTCAGATGGAAAGCACTCCACACTTTTGAACACATGTAGGAAAAAGTGATTGCTATTATTAAAGACGTGAACATTTCCAAATAACAAAATCACATGTGGCAAAACTGAGCATTTCTGTTGTTTGCAGCCATTCCGGTAAACCAAGTCTGTTTGCCCCTTATTACTGCATCTCACCACAGCTGCCAAACTTCCCAGCCCACTTACACAGGCTGGCTGAGCGCTGTGGCTCCTGCCTGCAATCCCAGCACTTTGGGAGGCCGAGGCAGGAGGACTCATTGAGGCAGGAGTTTGAGACCAGCCTGGGCAACACAGGGAGACCCTGTCTCTACCAAAAAACAAAAATTATCCAGACTCTGACTCTACCAAAAAAATAAAAATTATTGAGGCTGCAGTGAGCCAAGATCATGTCACTGCACTCCAGCCTGGGTGACAGAGCAAGACCTATCTCAAAAAAAAAAAAAAAAAAAGGCTGCGTATGGACTTGCAGGCCCCTGAAAATATTTAGCAGCCATCCTTCAAAGCTGCTGGAATGGGGAAGACTGAGAACGGAGCAGTGTGATGCCAAGGACAGGCCTCTTAAGTTGAGGTCACAGGGTGGCCCAAGGCCCTGGACATCAGGGCAGCTGCCTCTACAGTAGGCATAATTCAAGGCAGTAGCTGCTGAGCTGAGTGGGCTCCTGTAGTAAGAGAAGTGCCCGTCTTCTCACCAACCTGGAGATTTGCATCTCTCCAGTCCTGCCCAGTCTCTGGCAGGAAGCCCCACTCCCCAGCCGACACTGCTCCATGCTCATGGAGGAAGCTGTGCAGCACAGCTCAATGCTGTTTTCCCCTTTTGGTTTTCTAGAATAGTCTTGCAGAACTTTTTTTTTTCTTGAGACAGAGTCTCCCTCTGTTGCCCAGTATGGAGTACAGTGGCACAACCTCATCTCACTGCAACACTGCCTCCTGGATACAAGAGATTCTCCTGCCTCAGCCTCCTGAGTAGCTGAGATTACGGGTGTGCACCACAATACCAGCTAAGTTTGTTTGTTTTTTTTTTTTTTTTAGTGGAGACAGGGTTTCACCATGTTGGTCAGGCTGATCTTAAACTCTTGACCTCAGGTGATCTGCACGCCTTGGCCTCACAAAGTGCTGGGATTACAGGCGTGAGCCACTGCACCTAGCCAGTCTTGCAGAACTACTCTGTCACTCCACAGATCTCAGTACAGTTTAAGGCACAGCAAAGGTGCCCAGCAGACCTTTGATTATTTCTCATGAAGCATAAAGTTTTGCTCCTTGGAAGTAAATCCCCGAATCAGAGCCTTCCTCAGGAAGCTGGCACTACAGATGACCCAGGGGAACAAGCTGGGCATTCAAGTACCCAGGATTTCTTGTTTCATGTCATTTTAAAAACACCCATGGTTGCAAGTATACTGTGGAGTCCTAGGATTATTCCTAGCCTTGGCCTCAGTTGTCAGGCCGGCTGTTCCTTCTCATTTGGGGGCTTCAGCTCCTTCCCATTTTACCCATCAACTCCTAATCATCTCTCCTGCTCTACTCAACCGTCTTTTTCTGGAAACTCTTCCTGCATAACCTAATTTACAGCAGTCTCCTTCTGCTAGTCTCTAAAGCTGCCTGTTCTTATCACAATTTTAATCAAACTGTATATTTTTTTCTTTTCTGAGTATCACTCTGTTGCCCCGGCTGGAGTACAATGGCACAGTCTCAGTTCACTGCAATCTCCTCCGAGGTTCAAGCGATTCTCCTGCCTCAACCTCCCAAGTAGCTGGGCCTACAAGCATATGCTACCATGCTGGGCTAATTTTTATAGTTTTAGTAAATATGGGGTTTCACCATGTTGGCCAGGCTTTTCTCGAACTCCTGGCCTCAGGTGATCCACCTGCATTGCCCTCCCAAAGTGCTGAGATTACAAGTGTGAGCTACCATGCCCGGCCTAAAGTATACTCTTAACCCAGGGTGAGCACACACTGCTATGATCAGCCATGGGAGTTCTGGGGACTGTGGAGGGAATATGGCCACAGAAAGGCCAGTTTCACTTGGCTCCAGCAGAGAGACTGTTTCTATGAGTGTGTGCCCAGTGTTTGCGGACCTCCCATATCTTCACAGGAAGCCAGAACCTGGAGTTTTAAAGTGAAATACCCCCCAATATTTGTACTGACAATTTTTAAAACAAGGTAGGCCAAACAAAACACATAGGTGGGCCAGGCGCAGTAGTAGAGTGGTAGAGAAACCCTGTCTCTACTAAAAATACAAAATTAGCAAAAACAAAACAAAACAAACAAAAACAACCAACAAAAAAACAACCACATAGGCGGCTCCAAGGTTGTAGGTACCTGTGGTTTAACATCTTTCTTTCCCATTCAGCCCAGCTCCACGGGGTACATGCCATCTCCTCTCTGCTCATCACAATGTCTGGACCAAACAAAGCGATAATGAAAATATGATGGCCTCACCCAGCAAAGCTCCAGGGTTGGAAAGAGCCCCCTGACAGGGAATTGGCACCCATTATGCCCATCCTCTCTCTCTTACTGCCTACTGGAAATGTCCCCATCTCCCTTTGATTTCTCCAGGAGCCTCATTATCCTCTGTCCTGAAATCATCACAATGGCCAGAGTGGCCTCAGCTCAGGGCCTCTGTGACATCACCAAGGGCCTGGAACCAAATACCCAGTCTCCCAGTTGCAAGAGCAAGCAAACCCATCACGAGAACTGCCTTCCCCATCTCTGGTCACCATGTGGACGCTGAAACGCTTACTGGTCCTTCTTCTGTGCCTCACCTGCAGCTATGCCTTTAAGTTCTCTTCCCCGAGAGAGAAAACTAATGAAGCCCAGAGGAAGATGCCATGCGAAGAGCACTTTCGGATTCGGCAGAATCCACTAGAGCACACCCAAGGCTGGCTTGGGAAAATATGGCTCTGGCTTTTGTTTGTTGTTGTGCTGTATGTGATACTGAAGTGTCTAGGAGACAGTGGGAAGAGAAAGGTAAGGATGGCTCCATTTTTTTTTACACCATATTGATTCAATCTCAGGAGTCTCTGAGTCTCAGAGAAACGGATGTTATAGCGAGTCTAGGTGGGACCGTTACATACGACGAACCTACCTCATGGTCCTGGGCAAAGTTGGCATATTCCCTTCCTGATGTATCCGTAGTGAAGACAATAGTCCCCAGAACCACAGATATTGGGACAAACAGTGGAAGATGGCCTTCTGCTGATTGGCTCCCAGTTTTTCTGGTTAGATGGATTTTTTTCAAATGTAGGATAGATTCAACAACTTAGGGTGTGTTTCAGAGGTTCAAAATTATTCACAGGGCCAGATTCACTGTCCCCTGTTTTTACATTTTTCCTAGTGTTTGACTTACTACAAATTCCTGAGCTAAATGGAAATGGCATCATTACCCAACAAAATATGAGACTTGTGCTAAAGATGTAAAGTAGTTTGAGCTGGGCCTCAAGTGACTATAAACAACTCTTTCAAGCAGAAGAGGAAAGGGAGAGAAAGTGTGTTCTCCCCTAGAAAGACCCAGCACGTCATGAAATTGTGCCCAAACCCATTAGAGCAGGGGTTGGCAAACTTTCTGTAAAGGACTAGGGAGGGTGGGAATAGGTACAGCTCTGTGGGCAGTATGGTCTTCCTTGCAACTACTCAAGTCTGCTATTATAATATGAAAGCAGCCTTAACTATACAAATGAATGAGCATGGTCATGTCCCAGTAAAACTTTATTTACAAAAACAGGCGGTGGGCCACATTTGGCCACGGTCTGCCAATGCCTGCATTAGAGATTGCGCTAATGCAAAACCATCTTCTCTTAAATGAGTCCAACTCTTTTGGAACTGTGTCAAAACCAGGTAAGTCCACGATATTATTGACTTTGAGTATCTTTCTCGACAGGAGCAGAGTCCTCCTGGCCTTCGAGGCTGCCAGTATCAAAATCCACTAAAGAAAAATAAAAAAGCATCCCCTGACAAAGACTGTGCATTCAATACCTTAAACCAACTGGAGGTAGAGCTCGTGAAATTTGTGTCCAAGGTGCGGAATCTTAAGGTTGCCATGGCAACAGGTGGTGGCAGTAATCTCAAGCTTCGAAGGTCAGAGAGGCCTGCAGATCCACACAATATTACGATCTATGAAATATGGGGAGAAGAAGACTGACTGAATGGATTTGTGTGTCGAAAAAATAGGATAGAAAAAAGTTGAGTGTTGACAAACTATGCAAACTAATAAAACTATTCTGAAGAACTTCCACATTTGAGACCTTGCTATTTTCTTTTTTCACTAGAAGGAAAAGTGAATGTGAGACCAGCAGCCACAGCAGTGATGGTTTTGGTTTTGCCTCTCACGTCCTCTAGAGCTGTGGGTGGTGAGAAGGGCACTGAAAGCTACACAATAGTACACGATGACCTCGTGCTTCCGTGCAATGGCTGCGGATGGACGACGGAGCTAGGGAAATCTGGGATAAGATGCTGGTGTCATTTCCATAGAAACTCTTGTTTTCTTCTCTATAGTATCTATTTGTGCAAGACGCAGAACTGCTTTTTATTTTTGACACAAAAGATGACTTTAATGACAGTTTTTAAGTGGCAAAATGATTCATTTAGGAGGGGTGTATTCTAGAGTCTGTCTGATTCTCTCACCACCACAAGAGTCCTTTCACTCATTCCATTTCAGAGTTTCCATGTATTGACTCTTCCCTCTACCAAGCTAGCAGTTACACTTGTCAAGAGTTGGATTAAGAAAAGGGGAGAGGCTGGGCACAGTGGCTCACACCTGTAATCTTAGCACTTTGGAAGGCTGAGGTGGGAGAATTGCTTGAGCCCAGGAGTTTGAAACTACCCTGGACAAGTGAGATTCCTTCTCTATTATTTTTAAATAATAATAAATATTTAAATTTTTAAATAAAATATAACAATAAAATAAAAATAATTTTAAACACTTTAAAAATTTTAATAAGAAAAGGGAAAAACAATTCATACTTTCTATATCATTGAGGTTTTGAATACAGATATGCTAACGTCTGTATCAAAATCAGTCAATATGTACTTTATCCTACTTATTTAAAATATGGGTATTTGCCGGGCGCGGTGGCTCAAGCCTGTAATCCCAGCACTTTGGGAGGCCGAGGCGGGTGGATCACGAGGTCAAGAGATCGAGACCATCCCAGTCAACATGGTGAAACCCCGTCTCTACTAAAAATACAAAAAATTAGCTGGGCATGGTGGCGTGTGCCTGTAATCCCAGCTACTCAGGAGGCTGAGACAGGAGAATTGCCTGAACCCAGGAGGCAGAGGTTGCGGTGAGCCGAGATCGCGCCATTGCACTCCAGCCTGGGTAACAAGAGCGAAACTCCGTCTCAAAAAAAAAAAAAAAAAAAAAATATGGGTATTTTACATGTTAGTGTGGCTGACTCTGCACATACTTACAACTGTAAGGCCCCTACTGACCTCTGAGCCCATCTTCCTCATTTAAAAGGACAACCTGACGGTTTTGTAGACATACCTGTGTGTGGCTGGAGAGAACAGTTAGTTGTGGGACACTATGGAAATTCCTTTATTTATTTATTTATTTATTCAGTCCAAACTTCCGGTGCCTGACAGAGAAGTCCTGAATGTCCACCATCTTCCTTGCCAACCACTCCCATTATTTGCACGAGGCTTTCAGGATCCATCCTGCACCGGCAATTTTCTTCGTGTTTAGAAGGTGGACCTCCTGTAAAACGTCCTTGAACATTTTGCTTTTTGACTTAACTCTCAGCTTTCAGTATGGGAGAAATGGAAGGAGCCAAGATTACTCCTTTCGCTTTCCATATTAGTTATGAGTGTTTTCAAGCAAAACAGAGTATGTGAGTCATTGTCACAGCCCACTCTGAAGAAATCCAGATAAGGAAAAAAAAAAAAAGGTGGCCAGGTGTGGTGGCTCACACCTGTAATCCCAGCACTTTGGGAGGCCGAGGTGGGTGGATCATGAGGTCAAGAGATTGGGACCAGCCTCGTCAACATAGTTAAACCCAGTCTCTACTAAAAATACAAAAAAAATTAGCCAGATGTAGTAGCATGTGCGGGGCAGGAGAATCTTAGAACCCAGGAGGAGGAAGTTGCAGTGAGCTGAGATCACACCATTACAGTCCAGCCTGGGTGACAGTGCAAGACTCCATCTCGAAAAAAATAAATAAATAAATTTTAATTTAATTTTAAAAAATGGTTTTAACCAGTAATCTCAAGATGGGGCAGGTTTTAGATTGTCTTCATTCAACCAGTAGATACTTAGATTCACAGTCAGCAAGCTGTAGCTCGCAGGCCAAATCTGGCCACCTGCCTGTATTTGTATGGTCTTGTGATCTGATTGATAATAGTTTTTATATTTTTTCATGGTTAAAAACATCAAGCAGGGTGTGGTGGTATGCGCCTGTAGTACCAGCTACTATGGAGGCTGAAGAAGGAGGATTGCTTGAGTCCAGGAGTCTGAGTTCGGCCTGGGCAACATAGCGAGACCCTGTGGCTATATATATATGTATATATTTGATGACATGAAAATTACATAAAATCCAAATTTTAGCGCCCATGAATTTTTACTGGAACACAGCCACAATCTTTAGTATACATATTATCTATGGCTGCTTTTGCGCCACATAATTCCATATTGTCTATGGTTTGTGCTTACAATGGCAGACTTGAATTATTGCAACAAAAACCAATATGGCCCGCATGTATTTACTAACTGCCCCGTGACAGGGTAAATTTGCCAACCTCTAATTTATGCTAATCTCATATGTTAACAATGAGAAGCCTGCACGGTGGCTCACGTCTGGAATCCCAGCACTTCGGGAGGCTGAGGTGGGCGGATCACTTGAGGTCAGGAGTTCAAGACCAGCCTGGCCAACATGGTGAAACCCCATTTCTACTAAAAATACACAGTTAGTCAGGTGTAGTTCTGGGCCTCTGTAATCCCCGCTACTTTGGAGGTTGAGGCAGGAGAATCGCTTGAATCCAGGTGGTGGAGGTTGCAGTGAGCCAAGATCGCACTTTCTGTTAACATGTTCCTTGTTTCTGCCTTCTCCCCATAGACAGGGACTATAATATTGTGATTCATAATCAGAAATAAATATTTGGGGCCGGGCGCGGTGGCTCAAGCCTGTAATCCCAGCACTTTGGGAGGCCGAGGCGGGTGGATCACGAGGTCAACAGATCAAGACCATCCTGGTCAACATGGTGAAACCCCATCTCTACTAAAAATACAAAAAATTAGCTGGGCATGGTGGCACATGCCTGTAATCCCAGCTACTCAGGAGGCTGAGGCAGGAGAATTGCCTGAACCCAGGAGGCGGAGGTTACGGTGAGCCGAGATCGCGCCATTGCACTCCAGCCTGGGTAACAAGAGCAAAACTCCTTCTCAAAAAAAAAAAAAGAAAGAAATATTTGGTCCTCATCCCTCCCGACTTCCGGGCATACAACTCCGAAATCCCTCGGAATTTCCAAAGTAAGGTCTGGTGGCTAGAAGCACTTGGAAAGCCTCAAGATAGAGGCTGGTGATTAAAACATCTGTGATTGGAAGTTCAGACCTTTCAGTCCAACCCTCAACTCCCAGGGAGGAGAGAGGTGCTGAAGGTTTACTTGATCTCCAATGACCAGTGATGTAATCAATAATGCCTATGTAATAAAGCTCCATAAAAACCCAAGGGACTGCTGGCCCGGTGGCTTATGCCTGTAATCCCAGCACTTTGGGAGGCCAAGTCGGGCAGATCACCAGAGGTCAAGAGTTCAAAACCATCCTGGCCAAAAAGGTGAAACCCTGTCTCTACTAAAAATACAAAAATTAGCTGGGCATGGTGGCGGGCGCCTGTAATCCCAGCTACCTGGGAAGCTGAGGCAGGTGAATTGCCTCAAACCAGGAGGCGGAGGTTGCAATGAACTGAGATGGTGCCACTGCACTGCAGCCTGGGCGACAGGGCAAGCCTCTGTCTGAAAAAAACAAAACAAAACAAAAACAAGAAAAAAAAAAACCCAAGGGACAGAGTGTGCGGAACCTGTGGATAGCTGAGCACCAGGAGGTTCCTGGAGAAGGGCGTGGCTGGGGAGGGCATGGAGGCTCCACGCCCCTTCCCCTCACCTTGCCCTGTGTACCTCTTCCGGCTGACGGATCATCTGTATCCTTTGCAATATCCTTTACAAAAAAAAAAAATGAGGAAAGTGTCTCCCTGAGTTCTGTGAGCCACGGTAGCAAATGAATCAGTAGCAAATGAATCCAGCCAGAGGGGTGGGTCATGAAAACTCTCAATCTCTAGCCAGTTGGTTAGAGGTTCAGATCAGCCCGGGACTTGTGGGCATCTCCTGAAGTAGGAGGCAGTCTTGGGGGCTGAGCCTTCATCCTGTGGGGTCTGATGCTATTTCAGGTAGGTAGTGTCAGAAATGAATTGGAGGATCCCCGGCTGGGGTCTGCTGGAGAATTGTTTGGTGTATAGGAAACACCCCCACCAACACACACACATACATCATAGTGACCAGAGGTAGAATGTGCTGAGTGTGAGAGCATGAACAATGGTTTTGTTTCTCTCGTCTTTTGTTTTTTTGTTGTTGTTTTTGCTTTTGTTTATTTGAGATGGAGTCTCTGTTGCCCAGGCTGGAGTACAGCGGTGCAATCTTGGCTCATTGCAACCTCCGCCTCCCAGGTTCAAGGATTCTCCTGTCTCAGCCTCCTGAGTATCTGGGACTACAGGTGCATGCCACCACGCCCAGCTAAGTTTTGCATTTTTTAGTAGAAACAGGGTTTTACCATGTTGGCCAGGCTGGTTGTGCGTGAACTCCTGACCTCAGGTGATCTGCTCACCTCAAGTACCAAAGGATTGGGATTACAGGCATGAGCCACCACGCCCAGCCGAGTTTTAAAAATTGTCAGACTTACGGTAAGGTTTCAGTAGTGCAGTGTTCCTGTGCCCGTCTCACCCAGCTGTCCCTGAACGTAACATCCTACATGACCACAGCATGACCATGAAAACCCAAGAAATGTGACATTGGTACAGCACTGTTAAAATTTTTATTTGCATTTTCTTCATTAATAAAATTCACTCCATGAATGTGCTCTCTGTTCCAGAACCCAGCACCAGAATGCACTGACATAACCCTCTTTGGTCCCCTCCCTGGGACAGTCCTGTCTCCCCTTGCCTGTCATGACCTTGATGGCGATTGGTTGTCTGGTACAGTGGAGCCTTGAACAGCACAGTAGTTAAGGGTCCCCCCAGTCCTCACGCTGTC